TTCAATTCACACCTCTTCTCTCACTCTTCATATCTCTCTTCTCCACCAATATTCCTTTATCTTTAATTTAGTATTTGAATTTTAGTTCTAATTCTATTTAAAAATGAGCTCAAATCCTGATTATGTTCGTGTTGTGTTATATTACAATGGTAGGAAGGTAGAAGGTCGACGAGGTGTCATATTCGAAGGTGAAAAAAGGCCGACACGTATCCAATGCAACACAACCATTGGCGAACTGCATCAGAGAATTCGGCAGAAGTTAAGTCTTCAAGACAACCAATGTATCACTGAGATCACGACAACGGTGTGGCAAGGTGATAAATACATTAGTTTGAAAGTGCTTGACGATGAAGACTTGGAGATGACAATGGAAGAATTTTGCAACCAGTCAAGGACAGATTTTCTAGAGTTGTATGTCGACATCGTCGCAACGGAGAATGCTCCCATACCGGTGAGGTCAGTTTATTTAAATTCTCCCCGTCTTCCAGCTTCTCCTGCCGCTCATGCGTCTCCAGTTGGTAACTTTTCTGAGGGAGATGAAAATGATCCGACTTGAGAAATGCACGACGAAGATGACAATGACGACGATGAAAATATGGCAATGGAAGAACATCTTCTGGCGGAGGATGCTAGTGCTTCAGAAGGAGATGAATCTCGTGAGATGGGTGCGTCTGAAATCCCAATATTCCATCAACCAGTCGTCGCGCAAATGCCGCAGTTGAATGACGTTGCGTCTGCTCCGTTTGGTATTCCACAAGAAGGTAATTGTTCCCATTTGTATACTGCGTGAATAAATTACTGATTTAATACCTGAATTAGTAAGTTCGTATTACAAAATTATACTCTGCAATTGCAGGTGACACAGATTTATTCCTTTTTGGGAAGGAATTCCGCATTATTGTTACATTGATTGGAGTTATCAGAGCGAACAAGAATCATGTACTGATGGTTCGGTGTCTGGATCGGCTTCAATACAAGGTCCGTGGCAATTGGGTGACACGTTATTTGTCGATCAAGAATTTGCGACAAAAAAAGATGTCCAAATGGCACTTAAGCACAACCTTATTAGGGAGCATCAAGAAGCCATTGTAATTGAGAGCACGCCTGCAAAGTTGTCCATGAAATGTTGTGCGTACGATCAAGGTTGTCTGTGGCGCGTAAGGGCGACCAAACCGGTGTTTCGTGAAAATTGGAAAATAACGAGATGGGGTGGAAAACACGAATGTGTGAATGAGCACATTTCCCAGGGTCATGCTCGATGTGGACGTTATTGCAGATCTCGTGATAGGTACCTTTTTGTATTTTGGAAGTGTGAATGAACACGAATGTGTAATTAAATTTGTTTGATGTTATCGAGGCACTGATATCCTCTTCAATGCAGGGATGATAAAGTCTGAACCATCTGTGTCAATCTCTTTGGTGCAAGAAAGGATAACTGCTAAATATGGCTTTCAAGTTTCCTACAGAAAGGCGTGGTATGCGAAGCAGAAAGCGATGGCAATTCTGTACGGTGATTGGGAGGAATCGTATGCTTTTTTACCAAGGTGGTGCAAATACATGCTTCGCTTTTCTCCAGGTTCATTTTATCATATACAAACTAATGATCTTTATGCCGAGGAGAGCTTAGTTTCTGGAAAAAGGGTTTTTCATCGCATTTTTTGGACGTTTAGACAGTGTTGTGAGGCGTTCAAATTTGCCAAACCCGTCATACAAATTGATGGAACACATTTATATGGAAAGTACAAAGGGAAATTGTTGGTGGCCACAGCCCAAGATGGTAATAATGAATGTTTACCGATCGCATTTGCCATCGTAGAAGGCGAAACCTTGGAAGCATGGGATTATTTTCTCGTTAATATTCGTGTTCATGTGACTACGATGTCAAACATATGTTTGATATCCGATCGACATCGAAGCATAATATCTGCTGTGGAAAATAACCCTACTTGGCAGCCGCCAAATGCGTATCACGTATTCTGTAATCGTCATATTGCAAGCAACTTCAATCAAAAGTTTTGAAATGAAGATTTGAAGCGGATGTTAAAGAATTTAGGTATACGATATTGACTGAATGCGTAATTATTTCTTTCCATTATAACTGTCAATTTATGTTTAATTCATTCATGTCCAATTTGTGCAGGTTATACTCCAGCAATGGTTGATTTTGAAAGGAATCTTGCGAGTTTCCGTGAAAGTAGTCCTCAAATTGTTGAGTGGATTGATGCGATTCCTAAGGAAAAGTGGTCGCGTGCCTACGATATTGAAGGACGGAGGTACGGTCATATGACAACAAATTTGGCTGAATCTGTCAATAGGGTTTTGAAGGGGGCCAGAAATATGCCTATAACAGCATTGGTTAAGCATATATATAGTAGATTGGTTGCATATTTTGTTGAGAAAGGAACAAATGCTCTTGCACAACTTCAATCAGCTCATCATCACTCCAAACATGTTGTTGAATTGGTCAAGAAGAACCAGGTAGATGCAACAGGCCACCACGTTCGTGCATACAATGTTGAACATACTGTATTCGAGGTTGACGCAGGTTGGGAGCGTTCATATTCTGTCAACCTCCCACAGAGATACTGTCAGTGTGGAAAGTTTAAGGCCTTTAAGTATCTGTGTAGTCACGTCGTTGCTGCTGCGTTAAGTGTTAGGCAGAGTGTGTTCACTTACGTTGACGACGTCTTCTTGATAACTAACTTGGTCGAGGCTTATTCTTTTCCGTGGGAGCCAATCGGAAACGAGGAAGCAATACCTGAAATTAGTGGTGCAAAGATTATTCCTGATTCTACTATGTTGCGTGCAAAAGGTCGTCCAAAGTCAACTCGCATCCGCAACGAGATGGATGAAGTTGAGACAAGCCAGAGCCGTATCAGGTGTGGACTTTGCAAGGAACGCGGCCATAATCGTCGGCGATGTCCAAGTCGTGGGAGAAACGACTGATTTGCATATTATGTCATTATTTTGTTGTTGGTTATGTTATTGCATGAATTGTAATGTTCGTTATGTTGGACTTTTTACTTTCCGTTTATGTATGTTTTTATTCTTGTATTATTAATTAACTGATGCTGTTAGTTACCGTAATATAAATGCGCAAAGGACGACAACCAAAACATAAATAATAATGCATAGTGAATAGTCTAAATAATATAATAATGTAGCGTCCACAAAATAACAACATGCTACACTCATAACTAATACAAAAGAATAAAATAATAACAATATGAAACAGTTCACAACATAGTGAATACTCAAAATGGCAATGAAACTACGACCATGGTGGCCATGGCCTATGTCGTGCATCCCTATCTGGCAGTATACGTCTGTCCCAGACTGGGTCACCCTGATGCTCCTGTGGACGTGGAGTGAGGAAGTCATCCATCGCCGCACGGATGAAATCATCTTATGGTCCTGCACTGCTGCCTGGCACATCAAAAGGGGTGTGTCCCTGACTGTGAGAATCTGTGGCTAGAGTCTCCCCATTGTCATGGCTCTCTGTAACAAGGCCTACAGAGCGATACAACTCCATCGTGTCCTCTACAGACCAAAAAGGGTAATCGGCATCAAGTCCCTGTGAATAGGGCTGGAAATCAGGATGGCGGATCCGCTCCTGCCATAGCCATCGGACTAGCCTGGAAAACTGGCTCTTGCCCGCTCATGTAAGGGTGCTCAGACGCCGCCTGACTAGGACCTGCCGCATACTGCGATCCGTGATGATAAATCGGCTGTGACCCGTATACGCCGCCTGACTAGGACCTAACTAGGAATAGCACCGGTAGGTGGGCCCCTTGTGGCTTCCCACGCCTAGTCTTAATCTTTCTTACATGCTCAGTATTCCACACTCGCTGTGAAATATGACATTTATGCGTCCTCTTACGAAGGACCTCCCACCTGTACGGCCCAGGTATGATCCACATGCTGTGATCGATGGGCTCTACATCCGAATCAGATCCCGAAGAAGATGATGACTCAGCCATTATCCTCAACTAACTACAAAGTTATGCACTCCCGCATTAATAACATCATACATACGAAATTTACAAAGTCTCTAACACTATTTGTAAATCACTAATTAATATGCTAAACCCTAATACATAATTAAAAATCGGTAATAATAATAACTACGTAATAATAATATTACTATATCATTACAACATTCATAGCATGACACAAAATTTCTAAGTGACTATCCTAATGATCCAGGTCTCTAATATACAATCAATCCTAACATGTATTACTAACTAGCATTGTAATTTAAATGTATACATATGAGGTATTATGACCTTACCTACGTTGGCAGAGCTTCGCTACGAATCGCGGTTAAAGAGAGGTTAGAGAGAGGTTGAAGAGAGGTTAGAGAGGTAAATGGGTAAGGAGTGAAAAAAGAAAAGTAAGGTATATATAGGTTGCACATGAGACGCCCCTTTGGGCGTCACATGTGACGCCCAAAGAAGGCGTCTCATTGTGCAACAGATGTGTAATTTTTAACAAAATAACATTAAATGCGTAATTATTTTAATTAATTACATTATTTTAATTTTTTTGCCTAGGATGCGCATAGAAAGAGATGAGTGCGAAGTTGCCAGCTGTGAATGTTGAGTGGGCATTGACGGAACTAATTTGTGCACAACCACGAGATCTGTATGTGGGAAATGTGTAGTGGCTCTTACAAGACGTGCATCGTGTTTAAGTCACGCACGCCTCTCATTAGAAATAGAATATGTATTAGGAATCTTGTATTTACTTTCACTATATTAATGCAAAATTGGCAAGGATTTGCTCGTTTTAGTGTTGTTTATGGTTAGCACATACATGCTGAGTGTATAAATATATGGAGCCTATTGGAAAGTTCGAGGTACAGATGCATGCATTTTTCTATTGCTAACGTTGTTTTAGAACAATTTGTATCTCAGATAAATGAAATCATTGATTAAGCTAATTTTGGATTGATTTATTCTTTTTCATCCAAATTCACGGTAACTAAGAAATTACAATTTTGTATATGGGAAGTAGCACTTTCTTTTTGTATTTCCACATGTTTGGGTTTGCTTAGAGTGAGAATGAGGTGACCAGTCTTTCATTTTATCTATTTCTATTGCTTTTACTATTTATTTCTCTCATTTCTGGATCGTAAAATCTATTCAATGCTGTGGAGGACACAGCCTACCATGGCAATACTTTAAAAAAAAAAAAAAAAAAAAACATAAAACAAAAGTTCTGGCCAAACTAATTTTACCAATTACCAGTATGACGCTAATAAGTACCATAGTTGAGTAATAAAACAAACGTGTCTAAAATAATGCTATGCCACGGTTGTTGAAATCGTGGTTGCATTGATTAGCCAGGGTTTTTTTGGCAGTTGGCTACGATTTAAAACGTCACTAATCTCCGCTTCATAAAGTTCGACACTTGTGCCTAAAAATAAAATAAAGAGTAAATATCTTTTTTGGTCCTCAGCAAATTTCATGATGCTCGCTTTAATCCCTAGCAAATAAAAAGGTCCATCGTGGTTCTTAAGAAATTCAAAGTGGACCTATTTTAGTCCTTTTAGGGACTAATATGGGTCTTTTTTGAATTTGTGAGGGACCACGATTTCAACTAAATAGGTCCATTTTGAATTTCTTAGGGACCACGATGGGATTTTTTATTTGCTAGGGACTAAAACGGATGACGTGAAATTTGCTGAGGACCAAAAAGAGTATTTACTTTAAAATAAAATTAGACATTATTTATTAGGAAAAAATTCACCAATGCCCCTGTGATTTACTCCAGAATCACTTGTGCCCCTGTGATTTTTTTTCGATCACATATGCCCCTGTGCTTTGTAAAAACTAAGAAACCACAGGGGCATATGTGATAAGAAAAAACCACAGGAACATAAGTGATTCTAGAGTAAACCACAAGGGCATTGGTGAACTTTTCCCTATTTATTATTAAAAAATTAGAAAAAGTTAAAATTTCATCTTAATGTAACTGACAAAGGTGATTCATAATAGGGGTTTTAGTTTGTCATTTAACATGACAAGAAAAACTTTTCTACCCACATAATATTTTGTGGGGCCTACACTTTTTAAAGCAAAAAAAAAAAAAAAATAAGACACGCAAAATAAATCTCTATAACATTACACAATCACTTTTCCTACAACATAACTCTTATAAAATCCTTCATAATATTCTAAAATACCCAAATAATTTTATTCATTTGACAAAACTACTCAAAGAAATATTCAAAGAACAAGTCTCCAATACAAAAGTACAAGGAACTTAGAAACTAGGGCCTGTTTGATTGTGTTTTGGTTTTTTTGTTCTTAAAACTGTTTTGTAGAATAATTATGAAAACAGTTGTTTTCTATATTTTTTGTTTTAAAAGTTAAAAACCAAAACAAAAACAACTCAGACATGTTCTCTAAATTTGATTCTAAAAACAAAAAAATAGTTACAGTTTTTTAATTTTTTTTTTACAAAACAGGCTTACCAAACGAGTTTTTTTTGTTTTTTTGTTCTGAAAACTAAAAAACTATTTTTAAAAACAGTAACCAAACAGAGCCTAATTGATGCTCTCTAGAATGATACTCTCAAAGGAGCCTTAGCTTCTAAACCTCTTACCTTGTTTGAATGATACTCTCTAGAATAATGCTATTTGATGATTAAGATCTTCCACATGTTGAGTCAAGATGCGCTCTCAGATTTTTACGCTACATCTTCAGAAACTTAGGGTGTGCATGACAACTTTCCCAGAATCAATTTTTTTTAATTTTGGCTCCCGGGAGCAGAAATGGATAGAAAATTCATTTGATAAAATCGGTTTATTTTTTTGTTCCCGGGATGAACTGGCTTAATTTTTGTGCTGAGGAACAGAATAAAGAATCAAAAAATTTCTGTTTTTTGTTCTCGGGCACAAAATGAGAAACATTTATCTCTCTCAATTACTCTCCACCGCTACCATTATCACCACCGCCACCACCATCCCAACACGACCACCGCCACCATCGTCGCACCACCACCACCATCATTACCACCACCACCACTATCGCTACCACCATCATCGTAGCCACTGCCATCACCACCACCACCACTACTACCGCCATCGCCGCCGCCACTATGTCATCACTGTCACCATTGTCACAGTCACTATTGTCACCACTACTACACTATCGCCTCCGCCACCACCATGTCATTATCATCACCATTGTCACATTCACTGTCGTCACCACCACCACTACCGTCGTTGCCGCAACTATGCCACCATTACCACCACTGTCGCTGTCACCACCACCATTATCACGCAATTGCCACCGCCACCACATGTCATCACCATTACCACCACTACTGCCACCACCATCGCTGCGGCCACTGCTGTCACAACCACCACCACCTCTACATCACTGCCACCGCCACCACCACCACCACCATTATCACTAACATCACTGCCACCATCGTCGCAACCACTACCATCACCACCACTACCATGCCACTATTACCACCACCACTGCCGTCACTGCCACCGCCACCACCATCACCACCACCAACAAGACGCCACCACCATCACCACCACCACCACCATTACTACCGCCATCGCCGCCACCACCACCACACCGTATGAAAAGAAAAGTGATGATTTGAAAAAAAATTATGCTTAATAGAAATATCTTTTATTCTATTATTTGTTATGTTATCAAATGTAATTCTCATTCTCGGAATAAAAATGAAACATGTTATCAAACACATTTTTTTTCTAAGCAACTGTTCCAGAATACAGAAATAAAAAAGAATTATTTCTTTTCAGAAATAATACTAGAGAACAGAATGGTTGTCATGCACACCCTTAGAAACTAGGAAATTAAACACGTCTTTTTTGTGCACTTCTTGTAATAACTTCAAGAAATTGGAGTGGCGATAACTTAAAACACCCTTCACAAAATGGGATTGGAGCAATTTCAGTAGCTCAGCCAGATAATTATAAACAATAATATCGAATCACGATTAATAGGCCTTTTCACCATAATAATACAAAATGAGAAAAAT